TTCATTTACCTTCGAGGTAAGCCCGTAGATATATCTAGTGATTAGAATGTTCGTATAGATCGTTTTTACGTTCATAAACGGTCGTTTGGTTGAGTTTTATGTTTGACATGTTTGAAGAACCAAGAATCATAAACCAAGAAATTGTTGTTAAAACTACAAATTAATGACTCTAAAATGATCTGTGAACATTGGGGAACATACCTATATAATTTAATTGAAGTTTGGTAATTAAAAAAGATAATGTTAAAACTTGAACAGAGGAAGAAGATGATGAACAGTGGCCGAAAATCGATTATTTCCTTCCTAAAAAAATCGATTTTTTATGAATTAATCGATTATTTATATTGTAAAAATCGATTAAAATTAATTCATTGATTATTTAAATTGTAAAAATCGATTATTATGAATTAATGGATTATTTAAATTGTAAAAATCGATTTTCTATGAATTAATCGATTATTTATATTGTAAAAATCGATTAAAATTAATTAATTGATTATTTAAATGGTAAAAATCGATTTTTAGTAATTAATGGATTATTTAAAATATAAAAATTGATTTTTAGCAATTAATTGATTATTTAAAATATAAAAATCGATTTTTAGTAATTAATGGATTATTTTAAATATAAAAATCGATTTTTAGGTATTAATTGATTATTTTTAAAAATAAAAATCGATTTTTCTTAAGTCGAGATCCTGTTCCGAAAATATTCGGAAAATATATGCTCTAAAATCCACCAATTGATTATGATCATTGGAAAAATGATTTACCATAATAAAAATGATGTTTTTAACAAATAAAAATGGTATGTGATGCATGACGGTAAGTTAGGGTGTTAACACTCGAAGCTAGGCCGCAAATTATTATTGAATATTATGTTGATTGATGATTATGGTAATGATTCTTGATTGATTATTATGATGATTGAATCTTGATGAATATTCTGATTAAAAATGATAATTGTGAATGATTAAATCATAATGAATATATTGATGATTGTGAAAATAAAATGTATTGTTAAAGGTATCTAGAAGACCTCTAAGATATACCCATATTAATGTTGATTTGAAAGGTATCTAGAAGACCTCTAAGATATACCTATTTAAGTTAGGCCTTGCGGGTATGAACCCCGGTGGCTAGGGTTAAAACGTACGTACGGGATCCAAGAACCAAACTTGAGTACCTACTCGTTTGGGGGTACCACCCACCCAACAGTGAACACTACGCTGTCGGTTTTTGGTTGGCCTTAAGTGAAGGTAAGTTTAAGATTTTCAAAACCCTTTTATCTTAAACTAGGCCTAGCTTAAGGATTATTTAGGAATATTTTATACTGGAATATAGTTTAATTATTTAAACTAGAATTCGTTTAAGGGTTGACAAATATTAAAGTGATTGGCCTTAGACTAAGAATAGTTTAAGGATATTGTTGAATGTTGAATATTGAATATTGAATATGAGTAAATATTGAATGATGAATATTGAATTGAATATTGCAATTATTATGAATGACTGATGAACATTGAATGTGAATATAAATGTTGAATAATGCATGATGAATAATTTTTAATAATTATTGATTATCTGAACTGAACATTATGTGCATGATATCAAATGATTTGATTATGAATTTAGATTCAGTTTATATGGATGTTCGATGCATTAGATATGCTTACTCAGCTTCAACGCTGAGCGTGTAGTATGTTTTATTTGCTACACGCAGGTTAATGAAGTGACGTGATCCTGGAGGCAGACGGAGGCGAGATTGTCGGAATGGATATGATGGTTTTGAATTAAAGAACATAAATAAATTATGTTTGTGATTATGATTGTTAAGCTTCCGCAATATGAAAAAAAACTCCGTACTGTTTATATTATGAAAAATATTATTGTGATAAATAAAAGTGTTTGAAATGTTTTAATTTTTTACGATTACCAAGTTAATACTTTAATCTGAAAGGGGCTGCAGACCTGGACAGATTAGGGTGTTACAGGTGCGGTCGAGAAAGCTTCACCCGGATTCTTCGGACAATCTTTTCGGAAATGCCCGGCCTGGCCACACCCAAGGCACAGGCCAAGAGTGTACCAACACTCTCCTGGGTGCCTGCGCCCACAAAGGTCGCAAATCGGGTTGCGAAACCCATCCCCGCTCTTGCCCTTCTTCTGTACGGACGCAGATGACTGAGCTGGGGCTGACTTCACCTTCTTACTCTGGTGAGAGCTACTCGGCGCTGTAAAGGACCTCTTGCTGCTGGTCCCCGCCTTCTGGGGTGGAGGAGGACGAGATGGTGCCGTTGACGCTCCTAGCGTCTGCTCATACTCAGCCTTCTTGATGAGGGCCGCATTCAAATCCAATGCATTCTTGTACAACGCATTGATGTCACTCCGGGGAGCAATGATCAGATGGGTCGAAAGGTCGGGACGTAAACCCTCCACGAAGCGTTTGCATCGCTTCTCCACGGTCGGTACGAGGTCTTGCCCAAACCCCGCGAGCTCGTCAAACTTCTGACAATACTCACGCAGTGTGAGTTCACCCTGGGTGAACTTCAAAAACTCCTCCCGCTTCGCCTCGACGAAGTGCTCAGGGATGTACTCTTCGTGGAAGAGTCGGTCAAATGTGGCCCACTGCACGGGCTCCGGGATGCCCGCTCCCACACGCTTCCACCAGTCGTAGGCGGAAATCCTGAAGTAATGCGACTGCGAGGTCGCCACGCTGCTCCTATGGAACCCTCAGGTTCCCCAACACTCGGATGGTTCGCTCAAACAACCGTTTGGCAATCATGGGGTCGGCGATCTGATCGCCCAAGAATTCCTCAACTCCATTCTTCTGGAGTTTCTCGATAGGGACCACCGCCACTGGTGGCGGCGGTGGTGGCGGTGGTGGCACGTAAGCTCCAGCCATCTGCTGGAGGAAGTTCATGAAGTTAGCCGCGAACTGCGGCTGGACAATAGGGATGGCTTCCGGTATAGGGCCCACGCCCGGGACCGCCTGCTCGGAGGCCTGCTGAGGTGTGAAGCTCGACGCTTCAGTGTGCACGCTCACGTGCTCAGGCTCCCCCTCTAGGACCGCTTGTCCGTCATTGCCAGCTGCTTGACTCATTCTCTAAAGGAATAACTTAAATCAGAACTAGTTATAATATGACATACATGTGATCTAAATAACGGTGTACCTTTCCCTGGGTGTGATGCGATGGGAGATGCGGCTGTGGAATTTGACGACAAGTTGTGTTTTTTTTTTCCAAAAAAAACCGAACCTGTAGGTCTCTGATACCAAATTGTAACACCCGCCTTCCTTGGACCTGGTTCACCCGCGACCCAACGGACCGGTAGGGTTACATGGACAGTCCGAGAACCATCCGTTACGAAAACATTAATAATTATTTAATAAGAAAACGGTTGGGTTTTAATTAGAGGAATAAATGCCAGGGAGTTACTCCCAAAACGTGTGTAATGAAAGTGCAGAGTACTTGCGGAAGTAATTTAATAAGTTCAGTCCAAACTAAATAACGACAAGGGTGGGTTCATGCCCAATTGATTAATGAAGTTATTGAAAGTAATTAAGAGTTCGTCCGTGCTCCGCCCATCTCCCCATCATCAACGCTCTCCAGGGTTGGCACCTGCTCCGTCATGTCTACCTGCGTGTAGCAAAAACAACTACACGCTCAGCAAAAGCTGAGGAGTGAATCTAACAAAAGAACATGAAGTGATAACCCATATGGCTATACCCATATCAATACCTGTACTTAACGTACGGGACACCACACGTTACTAATTGTTTAGTTTTCACCTGTTAAAGCTGTTTCGAATAACAAGGAACATAATGATGATGATATGACTTGGTGCATGACTTAAACTATCAGGGACACCCCTGGCTTAGTCTCACTCGACAGGATCACCCCTGCACTCCGGTCATCGTTCCCGAACGGTAACGAGCCGGGCACGATGAAAACATCGCGAGTGGACTAGCAAAACCGGGTAGTAGCCGTAACCTTACTACTATGTACGTACACAAGCACAACATGATGAAAACCCGCTGGTCCCCAAAGGTTCCTAGATGGGCCCACTGTAGTAGGCGCTTGAAGTCCTCCCTACAGCGGTATGCATATGATGGAAACCTAGAACATCCGTCTAGAACGAACATGATGGAATGTATGCATTGATTAAAGAAAAGAGTTAAATTCAATTCTTACATATGTGCTTGATTATGATTTGTTCAACATGATGGCCCTGGGTTCAGAACTGGCTGATAATCGATTATCTGCTGTTGATAATCGATTATCATGCTGTGCAGCTTCTGTCCCCAAAGTTCTGCAGACTGTAATAATCGATTGTCACCCTATGACAATCGATTGTCAAATTGGTTTATCAGAAAAAGTCCTAAGTTCAGAGAGACCTGATAATCGACTATTGCTCTGTGATAATCGATTGTCAAGTGAACCAGCTCTAACTCTAGAATCCGCAGGGTCTGATAATCGATTACCACTTATGTGATAATCGATTGTCACACTATGCTGGATCAACTGAGGAGTTCAGCGTGACCTGATAGTCGATTATTCCGTTCTGTAAATCGATTATCAAGGCACACTGATTCCCATTTTGACTGTTTGGTTATCATCAATACGTTGGGAGTTTTCTTTGAAACGAACGTTTATGATTACATGTTAAGTATTCCATGAATATACGGAGTTTCAAAATGCTTGTATTAACGAGTTCGTAACTTGATAACACGGACTCTCGTATGTTTGATGGTTAACCTACGAACATGCATAGATTCTACGTAGGTTGCGTACGATATTCCTATGAATATAA